AAATACAAGCACAATTTCAACAGTCAGAGACAAAAAGATTATCAAGATTATCTTTGAAGCTGCAAGATAAAAGTGATGTCTCAGGCCAGGCACAGTGGCTTATGCCTGTAATCCAGGCACTTTGGGAGGCCTAAGTGGGTGGATTACCTGATATAAGGGGTTCGAGACCAGCCTGGCCAACCTGGTGAAACCCCGTCTCTACTAAAACTACAAAAATTAGCCAGGTGTGGTGGTGCATGCCTGTAATCCTAGCTACTCAGGAGGCTGTGGCTAGAGAACCACTTGAACCTGGGAGGCAAAGGTTGCAGTGAGCTGGTTACACTCCAACATGGCTGGGGCATAGAGCGAGACAGCCTCAAAAAAAAAAAAAAAGTGATGTGCCATTTACAAACATAATCTTATGTGATAATCCATGAACTGTTAACAAGAATTTTGCGGGCCGTAAGGAAACTGTGTGATGTTGTGATAAAAAGAAGTTGTGAAAAAAAATAGCTATTAAGTGAGAATAATACCATCAGTGAATCTATCTTGCCAAATAAAATAAAAATAAAAATAAAAGCCTTCCAAAGTAACCAAATTCTAAAAAAGTATATTGGAACCGTATATGCCCTACATATAAAGGATGCTGAAAATAGTTTCTTCTACTGAAAATAACATGATTTAAAAAACAACACATAATCATATAAAAATACACTATATTCTGGGGAAAATATGCAAATACACAAAAGTAGAATTTCTTAGCACTATCCTAGTGATACAGAAAACATTTTTAATTATTCTCTGTAATTAGAAAGATAAAAGCATAGAAATCATTATAAACATCTGTTAATGAATATACAACACAAAAATATAATTAGCAACATCGATGACAAGTTTGAGAAAAGATGTAATAAAAAAATTTTGTATGCAACTGAAGTTCATTTTTTTACCAGATTAAAATATGTTGTTGTATTTTTTAGAGGTTATATGCAATCCCTAAGGTACCACAAAAATAGTTGTATAAGTACACAAAAAAGCCTGGGCATGGTGGTTCATGCCTGTAATCTCAGGACTTTGAGAGGCCAAGGTAGGCGGATCACAAGGTCAAGAGATCGAGACCATTCTGGCCAAGACGGTGAAACCTTATCTCTATGAAAAATACAAAAATTATCCAGGTGTGGGGGCACACATCTGTAGTCCCAGCTACTCAGGAAGCCGAGTCAGGAGAATCATTTCAATCCAGGAAGCCAAGGTTCCAGTGAGCTGAGATCCCACCACTGGGACTCCAGCCTGGGTGACAGAATGAGACTCTGTCTTTAAAAAAAAAAAAAATTGTACGCAACTTAGTTTTTTTTGCTTTTTTTTTTGTTTTTACCAGATTAAAACATACTGTTGTATCTTTTAGAGGTTATATGTAATCCCCAAGATACCACAAAAATATTAGTATAAATACACAAAAGAGGCTGGGCTCAGTGGCTCACGCCTGTAACCCTCACATTTTGGGAGACCAAGGTGAGTGGATAACCTGAGGTCAGGGGTTCAAGAACAGTCTGGCCAACATGGTAAAACCCCATCTCTACTAAAAATACAAAAATTAGCCAGGTGTGGTGGTGGGTGCCTGTAATCATAGCTACTCAAGAAACTGAGGCAGGAGAATTGCTTGAAACCAAAAGGTAGAGGTTGCAGTAAGCTGAGATCGCCCCACTGCACTCCACACTGGGCAAAAGAGCAAAACTCCTTCTCAAAAAGAAAAGAAAAGAAATCTAATGACTAAAAAAGACTGGAAGTGGCAAGATGGAAGTAGACATTCCATGCAAACGTTAGTTAAATGAGAGCAGAAACAGTTAAAACAATCTTACACAAGCTACATCTTAAGTCAAAAACTATAATATTTTATAAAATGTGCTTGAAATTGAAACTCCAAAGAAACAAAGAAGGACATCAAAAAATAATAGATTCATTCACTGGCAGCCTATGACAAATTTGTGTGTGTGTGTGTGTGTGTTTGTGTGTGTGTGTGTGTGTGTGTGTGTGTGTGTGTCTCACATTAGGGTTCCAAATATATAAAGCAAATATTGACAGAATAGGAAAAACACACAGAAAGCAATATAATTATAGAAAGATATTTTAATACCACATTTTCTTTTCTTTTTTTTTTTTTGAGATGGAGTTTCACTCAT